TATTACTTCTCAATGTTTTTGGCATAATTACTCTATTTTCAAAGTATACCAGTCCATCCTCAATCGACAAATCTGATTTCAACTTGTAAAAGTGATTTATTTCATTGTTCTCTTTTATTTTGTTTGGCCACCCATTTGTATAATACTCGATCACTCTTTGTAAGACCTCATCTCTATTTTATTCTAATTTTAATTCATTTTTTTTTTTGAGAGAGACTTCTTTAGATCAAAATTAGTAATTAGTCGTGTTAAGGTCATAAATTAATATTAAAATCCTAAGGAATATTAATAATTCCCAATAATATAAGCTGTTAATTTATAAATTCACTAATTTAATAATCATGCCAAAGTTAATGTGATGTGTTTTTCACAACACAGATTTTTTTTTAAGATAATTATGTTAAAATATTTTCTCAAAAATTGGGATAAATAATGACTGTTATAAATTTAAAACGTTAGTTGTTACTATAGGCATAAGATCTGTTAATTGTAACCAGTTTTGCCAAATAATGTGTACATATTTAATATGTATAACAGAGGCACCGAAATTTCAATGTTATTATTTGTTTTACACAATTTTGTGCCACATACATTTCCTAAGGTTGTTCAGACTGAATAATTTTGTTGTATTAAAACATTGTTGATAATTCATATTTTTACCTATACATATGATAAAACTATAAAATCAAAAATGTATAATATTTTGGTTGAATTAAAATAATCATTTGAACAGTTAAAATAACAATTTATATAAAATATAGTTTTATACAGTATACAGTTAATACCAATGAATTAATGTTAATTATACGATATGATTAAGAAATTGATTGTCTCGTATAAAAGAAAATATATTGTTAAAAAAACATACTTTGGTATGGTAGATAAGTTATTTTTTATGACTAAATGCCATAATATATTGTTAGTTATTACTGATTATTATAGATTTATTTATAAGAGATGATTAAAAATATTTATAATTAGAAATTATGCTTACATTATATTCCATAGTAATCAATATCCATAGACCATGTTTGTGAAATGTATTTATTTTTTATAAATCAAATAATTATAACCTCTATAATATTAGATTTATTATTTATCACGTAAACTTGTTTTTGTAAATTTATAATTAATTGGTATTCTTATCAATTGCATAGACATTAATTACTAATTAGTCAATGGCACGAGTGCACTACTGTTATCTTGTAAATATTTTTACAAGAATAATTAAATGTTTTATGTCTGAAGACCATAATAATGATAATTTTTATTTCGCAGAATTTGTGGTTTGATTTTTTTATTGCACTTATTAACTAAACGCAGTAAAACTTCTGTAGACATTTTCAACACATAAATCTAGAACATTTTTATTACATTATTTCGTTCCTATTTGAATCCTCCAATATGAAGATGAATTGTATCAATGTCAAATGTATAACTAATAATTCAAGTCCGATCATAAGGTTATWATAACAGTAAATACAGAACATTTGAATTGGTGCCGAGCCATTCGGATCAGAACAAAAGTTACAATCTGTTTGATCCGGATTACAAAAGAGTTTTGATAATAATTATTAACAATATTAATCACCGTATATTTGTACTATTTAGGTTGATAATATTGAAAAAATAGCTGATTATCTCAAAACCAATGAAGCCAAATTTAATTCAAAGTTTTGGATCAATAGATTGAATCCTGATAAAATGGATGTATTCAAAATTTGGAATAAATAATTGTAATTCATAATACGGATTGATCAAAATAATGTTTTAACACTTATTTGGATTAGACTTATGGTCATTTCTGTTTGTCATAGAAACTACTAGTATGATTTATTATTTAGTTAAGTTGTTTAATTGAAAATTGTTTTTACAGAATTGTAAACAATATAATATGTATATTATTTTCATTATTGATTGTTTGACGTTCAAAAGTTAGAACATGATTTTTAATTAGAATAAAATACAAGCAATTGGATAAATCAAAAAGAACTGATTATTTAGTCATTAATTGAAAACATTGAATTTATTAGTTCTCAATTATAATATACTCTAGAAAGAATGTACAAAAATAAATAGTAAAGTATTTTATAAGTTTACAAAATTGAAACATGATGATATAATCACAGACGTAACCATAACTGGTTGTAATTATTGTTTATAGTGCAGTAGTGCACTGTACAAAACTTAAGTATAAAATAAAATCGTATTTAAAATTAAATAAAAATCTAGTCATTTTGTAAGGCTATTAGTCATAAAATAAATATAAAATATTTGATGAGTGTAACAATATGGTATGTTGTATCATCCTGCAGTATTGTAGCTAGCATTATAATTCACGGTAGTTTACTATATACAAAATAAATTAAGGAAAAAATACTATAAATCATAATAAATTAATTACTGTMCACATTTTTTTAAAACAAATTACTTCTGAAAAGATTGATCTATTTCATATAAAATAATACCAATTAATTAATTAAATTATATTTTATACATCAGTCTTGATTAAATTCTCTATCATATTAAATATGGTACATTTCTGTGGCTCATGGTACTGTATTGGTAGCCATAGCAACAGGCCACATTATCGGCCCTTTAGATATCAATTTTGACATTGCATTTTTAATGGCAACAAAATGTCTTTTAAATTCTAAACCACAGCCTCTTGAAAGTCTGAAGTCCATGAGCGTCTGATGATTCATTGGAATTACATTAGATTTAAACACTAACCGCTGATCAGCAGTGGTAATTGTAACCTGTAGACAAACAAAATATATTGTGATTTCATTTATTTTAAAAACTATTTTAATAGTCAACTTACCAAACCAGATGTATTGATTTTACAGGTATAACCCAAATCATCAAGAAACTGCGACAGAGTGGCTAATGCTTCGTCTGATGATAAACAAACAATAAATCTCGTCATTCTCTTCACTAATTTCTGAATAGAATTCTGAAAATTAAAAAGTAAATATTGGTACATTTTACATTTTTTTGTAGATAAATTGAATAATTACATTTACTGTAGTCGATACTGTTTGTGATGTCTGAATTTGCGAAGACAGCAACAAATGTTCAACCTGAGTAGGCTGGGTAAATGAATGTATATCAGATTCATTAGGTGGAATAGAAACTGAAAATGGAATGGCTGCTGGAGCAGGTTGAGAATAACATGGACGAGCATCATCGAATCCTCTATCGGACAAAACAGAAATGCCCACTTTCTTGTTATCTAAATAAACAGTATAGTATTGCATTACTTTTATTTTCAATGAATATTTTTAAATTATTTTAAAGTATTATTGAAAATAATTATTCTAACACAGAGTTAAGATACCCAGAGATTACTGATGTTTGTTTATATACTCAGAAATCACTTGGTACCTGAATGTGTATTAGATTATTCGTTTTAAGTAATAAGCTTGAATAAATAAAAATGTACCACATGTTTTTGACTTAGTGAACCATTGATGAGATTGAATTTGTGATATATCATATCTTTTGGACGGCGTGGGTATTAATATTTTTCTTACAAGAGACAAAGCCAAGGTATCTAATTTGCACCATGGCGAATGACTAGCATAATCAGTGGTCTTCCATAATTTATAATCTTCATCATCAACTGACGGCATTTCCCAAGGCAACTCTAAATTAATAAAAATTAATAATTTAATATTGTTAAATTTTAATTTGTATCACTACATGCATATTATATTAATTTAATTACATTTTAAGAGAATGTACAAAAAACTAAAATATWAACAGTTTTGTTAAGTTAGCGATTTTAATCAAATTAATTAAATTTAACAGAAATAAAGTTAATGTTAACCAAAAATACAAAGTATCCACACACATTTTGAGAAAACACTTGTGAATTAACTTATAATTAATGAAGTAAATATTTTATATATTATAGCTAATTAACATTAAAACTTAAAATTTTTAAGTTACACACCACACAGTATTAAAACTGTTTTATAACTATTAATATTGGTGTTTGAATTTAATCAAGAGATAACTAAGCAAGATTATATCCACTTAAGATGGAATTTAACTAATTATAACTAGGAATTTTGGTAATAATAGAGAATACTTAAATGTATAAAATATTATATTTTATACATTTATTTTAGGAATACATAATTCAGGTATTACGGGATGTGTTAGTACTTTTATAGTTGAGTTATAACAAATAAACCTAATGAAATCAATTTATCCAAACAATATTTCATGGAAGTGGTGTGTGGGGTTATTTGACTGTGCAGAAATCTGATGGAGAAATTATGTAAATTATAATCAGATAAAAATTGGTAACCACCAAGAAATTCTCTTAACAAAATGAACACAAGTGCAAGAAAGAATTGTATATAACTCAAAATTGTTTCATTATTAAACTCTGTTGTCAACCTTTCAATTCAGAATATAAATTTATAAAAATATTTATTTTTAGCATTCCCTACAAATTAGCAAAATATCAAAATTTAATTTGGGGTAATCTGTTAGGTATATGTGTAAATATGGAACACACGGTATAATTAATACTGTAATTAAAATTATTAAATATAAAAAATATTGTTGACGTATCAATCGCCAATAACATTGGTACAGAAGCTTTAGGGCGTCTCTTTAAAATATACCTACAGCTAAAGTACCAAAGAGATCAACATTGACACATTAATAAATTACCATAAGTTATTAGTKAATTAGTGTTATTTATTTATTAGTTTTTATTCAAAATAATTACCTCCAGCAAGCATAGAAACCAGTATAATACCACATGACCAAATATCAGAAGGTTCAGCTTGATAAGGTAACTGTGAAAGAACTTCAGGAGCTAAATAAGGTCGAGTTCCACACCTCTTTTCAAGTTTACGTCGCTATTTAAATTAAATCAATATAATATTAAATAATTTTTGGGGTATTAAAAAAAAAAAAATATGTAAGCATAAAATGATTCTTTAAATGTGAATATTGTCATTAGCA